TCTGCATTCTCTGACGATGCGTCTGTATTATATGCACCAATTTTGAATTGTTTTAAAATGCTGACTTTCAGAAGAGGAGTCACCTAGGATTACAAAGCAGCAGAGCCTCGTGGAGCCAAGGCAGCATCACACTGATCCYATTTTCCAAATTAGTGAAAGGCAGCCTAGTAGGTCAGAGCTGCACCAACTGACCTGGCAGGGATAAAATATAGTTAAGATTACAGATACCTGCTTGTAGAACATGGTAACAGTAGGTTATCACTGGACACAAAACTGATATAAACTGTCCTAAAAGTTTGTAATCTGAATTATTAGGATAAGCAATAAGGTTTTGCATGCAGATAAAAATGGTAGTTATTTTAATTACTCTTAATGGTAACTAGGTCCACTTACTTGTCCATAGTGGACAATAGGTCACAGAATCACAGAATATTCAAGGTCGGAAGGGACCTCTAGAGACCATCTAGTCCAGCCCCCTGCTCCAGCAGGGACACCCAGAGCACGGGGCACAGGGCGGCAGCCAGGCGGGTTTGGAGACCTCCAGAGAAGGAGACTCCACAACCTCCCTGGGCAGCCTGTGCCAGGGCTCTGTCACCCTCACYGTTTTCTGCTTTCAAATACAACCTTTGCAATTGAAATGCCACTTGCATGGATTTCCATGATTTTTTTTTTTCCTTATAGGAAAAAAAGGTGTGTTATTTATGGAAAGTCTTTTGGATGGTAATTTGGTAATGAAGAAAGAGAATCTGATTTGTGAAGACTGGCTCATTAGGTACTAATACAAAATGCAAAAGAAACTACATAATTTAAAGGAGAAAATAAAATCCTTCTTCCTTTCAGATTTCCAGTTGCCACTGTGATGATAGCCCCATTTCATTACTTAGGAAATCAGCAGCAGCAGTTCTGAGYAACTCCCTGCATAGCTTGTATGAAAAGTAACAAAAAATTGCTCTTTCCAAATACGTATTTTTTTATATCTTATGTAATCAGAAAAAAAAAAGACATCAGCTTTTTATTTATTTTTTATTGTTTGTAGGTCATTTTAGGGCAGAAATGCAAGCACTTTGGAACAATCACTATTTTTGAAGAGACTGCTTCTATCATTTACAGTGGCATGGTAATATTATATGGGAAAATATGAAATGGAGAGAGGAGTGGTGGTCAGAATAAAGCCAAATTGCTACAGGGTTTGAATGGCAACTGGCTGTAAAATTAATATGGAGCAAGARCTGGATGCCGCATGGTTGAGTATTAAGCCAGTGCCTGGTAGAAAAATAATGCTTTCATCTAACTTTCTGCTTGACAACACTG